ACCTTAAGTCAGGGGCCCACTGAGATAAAGTATACACCTCTATAAACGAGTTCTCTGATAAATGGCCTGTAGACTTACTGGGCTATGAGACGTTACAGTAAAGAAGTTTCTTTCATGGTTAAAGGCGTTAGAATTGTACCTGTAGATGTCTAGCGTGTTCCACCAGGAAGCGATCGTCACTGCTGTAGGTTGCCAAGCCGACCGTCAATAAGTGGAAATCCTTCCGTCGAATCCACGACACCTGCGGAGAGAATAGAAGATTCAGAAATCGAGAAACTGCTTGTGTTAACCGCAGAAAAGCGGACTCATGTGAAAGACTATTGCTAGTCGCTTAAACCGACGACAAGTGTGTATATTATTAAGGTACCGCTTAAATTAGAATTATATTACATAGAATTTATTAACACGGGTCTCATATGACATATATAATTTCACAGCAGGTCAATTTTTTTCTTTAAATATGAATATAGCTAATGTAAGAAATTTAAATGTTAGAGAATCAGCTTTAATAACTTGATTTGAATTTTCGGTAAGCTGTTCTCATGACTTCATTCATACATGGTAAGAGACTTTTAAAATAAACGAGTAATTAAAAATATTAATACAGGAACCTCATTAGATAAATATATTAATTTCAGAGAATGTCTTTCATTATTCTACGTTACGAATACATTACAATTCAGGATTGAATTACTTAGACAGAAAAGTTCAAAGGTTAGTGGTTCGTTATTCATGTATATTTAGGCAGAAGCGCTGGAATTTCTATTCCATAAAGACTTATGAGTTTTGACTCGCAAATCAGAGAACCGTCTATAGACAGAGCATCTGTAATTCATAGTAACATCTAGATGAGTAATTGAATTACGTACGCACACCACAATCGATTTATTGTTTCGTTTTAAATGCGTTTGAAATTAACAGGAGTCATATCTTTTCTTCTTACGATGTTCATGAAGACGTTTGTTAAAGAAATGTAGGCCTACGGGTTGTCTTCGTAATACGTATCAAGTGTTCATGTGAGTTATTCTCTCTTTTGCGTTGTGATGTGGTGTAGACTAGTAAGTGGATACTAACAATTCGGATAAACACTGTCTCCATCTTCGGAGCAGAAGTTTGGGGGCTAATTAATTCTTTGAAGCCGAAGCCCGTCTAAATAGTATTAAATAATTTAAGCCGTACTGCAAAGAAATAGCAACATTTCTCCATGACAAATATCAATTGGTTAAATCTGTTTACGTAAAATAATTCGCTGTATGCAGTGAAAGTATTAGGAAATTTATAAAATGTAGACTTCTTTATTGTTAAAGCAGGACGTACACATAGTTATCAGTGTTGATTTTCTGTGCATGGAATTCAACATTAGGACAACATATTTAAAAATAATGTGCACTTTGCATAAGTCTTTCATGACGTTCTTAGCGTCTATGTAACTGGTCAAGGAGTCTTGCATCTTTACATTTACGATTATATATCCTATCTGTCTCTTCCATTTATATTTTCCGACTAAAATGTATACATTCCTCATTTACCCCCATGTTTGCTACATGTTCCACCCATCTCATCCTCTTTGACTTTATCGCTCTTAATAATTTCTGGTTCGTCGTTAATACGATCTCGTAAATTCCATTCTAATTTAATTTAAGTTTTTCTCTGTTGGTCTAAGAATAATTAAAAGTTACGTTTAAGTTCGTTAAATTCGTCACTTCCAGCCATAAAACAAAACAGATACGCGCATCGCCGAGTTTAACGCGTCTGTAACACTAGATTTTGTTTGATTTCAGTTGTGTCGTAGTTCTGTTCGGACTTGTGTTGCAAAAATTACTGCACCGGCTGTGAGGCAGTGCGCTGGAATATGAAAAGCTGGCCAACAGATGGCTTGCGAAATATTGGAATCTAACAATAGGACACATGGTCCGAACTGACACAAGAAGTCTGTCTGACTGAAGTGATAAAACTTCTAGTACTTCTCACCTTTCCTCTTCTCTGGTTCTCGCTGATACACTTTTCCTCTGAGAGGCTACATTTTTTCTTCTCCTTTCGGTTGAATTTTCGCTTTTAGCTGGCAAGTCTTGGCCTTAGAATCTCCACAAATCAATGCCGGCTTCTTTTTTTTTTGGGTCTTTCGCTGCCTT